CCCAATGTTCTACGGGCGCCTGTAGGTTGGTGAGAGCGCGGATGATTCGCTGAATTTCGTTGACGAACGCACGCAAATCCACGGCAGATTCCTTTTTCAAGTACGGCATGTTGAACAGCGAGTCTAGCAATTTATTAATAGGTAAGCGTGGGTTCCGAAATCTGTCCTGGAGCGCTTTCCAGGTAGAGTCATAGTTGACCCCGATGATCGCTACATCCTTCACTAGTTCAGCCGCGGTACCTGTCATACACGACTTCAAGTATTGAAGCTTTGCCTGTCGGCAAGGCGCGGGGCGCTGTGCACGAGGGTGCGAAATATATCCGCGAAACTATCCCAGTCCTCGTAATTTCCCGAGAACGACGGTAGGTCTAAGCGCGGAAGTTTCGCGAGTCGATCCTCATCTTCTTCGTGCTCATGCGCGCGTCTATGCGTATTGCGAACCTCTTCCGATGGGAGTCGCGCAAGGGCAGTGATGAGCCAGTCAGAAGCTTTCTCATAAACGCAAAGCATCGCTTGAAACTCAACAGGTGTACGGATGTTCGTCTGATTCAGCGCGCAAGGTGATGTCGTGGTACGTCTTGCGGGCCTTGGACCAGATCTCGTTGATCGTAACCATACGAACTTGCACGATGATGCGATTGAGCTGGTCGTGCGCGCGCTCCCGCATACGAGACCTGATTTGCTCGATCTTGGATTTCCGTTGGGCCTGCAGCGCGACTAGGCGCGCCAACGCAATAGGTGCCATTTTGTTTTTCGCACACGTAGTTAGCGCGATTCGCGAACTCTTAGCGAGGTGGACCTTTCTCTCAACTCTACGCCACAAAAACTTGATATCAGGCCAACGCTTGAACCTCCCTATATCACACACTTCTCACCCGGGGCACCATGTCTGGAAATAATCATCAAACTTAAGAGTTCTTCTAATAAACACGAGGGGTGTGTATGATAATGAGAGGCTCAAGGCATGACTGAATAAATACGCAGTTTACAATTATCTTAAGCTAAGTCGTATCTATTCGGCATAAAAACTCCAGTCGTAAGTGGGGAAAAGCTTCTTAGATACGGCAAAATTTTATTTTGCGTACAATTATCCAAGTGGTACAGGAACCGTCGATACGGAGGCAGCGCTCGCCTTTACAATGGTTTGTTACTCACACTTGCAGTTTGATGGCCAGTCAACTTGCACCAGCTCATCCGACGCACCAGTGAGGCTGAGAGATAGAGAGGAGAGTGTGCTTCCGGTGGTCGAGGCACGACGTAGCTCCGACGTCTTAGGAATGGGGACAGCCCTCGTTACGACGCCGCCCGAATTGTTGAGTGGGCACAGTGCCGCGTGGTTGAAAGCACCCCTGAAGGCTGTAAGCACCCTCACCTACGGTAGCAGGTCGCCCTGTCGTGCACCGTTACTGACACGTCGTGCGGTGGCTCACTCCTATCGTAGTTTGTCGCACGCCAGACTCGTCGAAGCGCATACACACACACTCACGCACGTAAAGAACTAGCGCTCTTCAGTGGAAGGCAAGTTCTACTGGAGTGACTGAGCTAGACTGAGGAAAAACTCTCGGGCATTGCTCGGCTCGGTCGTGGTATAAATCTCCCCCTCTCCGCAGTTTTCTCAAGAAAAACTGGTGGGCCATAGACCCGCGAAACGACAGAAGATGAGAGAGAGCGAGAGAGAAAGAGAGAGAGAGAGAGTAAAACAAGAGCATCGCATTTCAGGTCGCGTGCGACGCTCAGTGGGTGGTCGGCACAGGCCACCACGTATCGATGATGACGTGCTGATACGATCTGTTGTCCCGCAAATGTTATCATCTCGACATCGCTCGCAGCTGTAACCCAGATAGTCGACACACGTGCCGGCCGACTGCGTCAAACGCGCATTCATATGGGCCGCACATGTTCGAAGGTGCACCGTCGAGGAACCCGGACGATTTCGCTGCCAACCATCGCAAATGCCGTGAACACGGTCCTATCTATGTGCTATTTTCTTATTTCACTGAATCACTGCAACCCGCTAAACTCATCAATCTGTTTACATCAATTAGCATATTAAACGGCGCCACCTCATATATTATTTGATTGTCTTACTTCCAGAGTTAAATTTTAAATACTTATAGATATAGATATAATAGTTCTTGTTATTTTATTAAAATATGTTAATTAAGAGTCATTTTGATAAAACAAAGCATTTTTTATATAGATTTTAGGGCATAGATTTAGATTATAATAATGTTAATGGTGTTTTATTATTAAATTTTAATTCTAATATGCAAAGTTAATTTGTTTATTACATTATATAAATTGTAAGCATTAATTATTATAATAATGCGGATACTCTAAATTCATTATGAATATCTTAGAAACATGAGTAAGAATTGGTTTCATTGATAACAGTTCAATTATTACTGTTATGAATAAATAAATGATTAATAATTTATTTGAATATAAAGTTGTATATAGATCAAAAGCGTTAATTTTGTACACAATAATGACAGCTTTATAATTTATTAATCTTAAATAATTAATCTAGTAATTACATTAAAAGATTTTAGAAAAAACCGTTACAAATATACAAATTTATTATAATTCAAACATTATTAACTAATTTGAGTATTTGTTTTTAGGAATTACTTTTACTATTGATTAACTATTAATTTATGTAAAATTTTATTATTGTTTGATTATAGATAATACGCTATCACATTTATTAACATTATTAATTAATAAATTTTGACGATACTTTTTGCAATAATTGAAACAATTTGATTAATCAGTTTTCAATAATATATTTTCAATTTTAGCGAATTATAATTTTTACACTCATGAATACAACAGTTTTACCAAATATTAATTCATTGTGTTTATCGAAGAACTGTATAAGAATCGAATATTTTAATTTTTGAAATTATTACTATATTTGAATAGTGACTGGAAATGAAAAAAATTAATAGTGAATCGAAATCGAAAGTTAGCAATAGAAAAAAAGTAAGTCTAGAATTGATATTCGAATAATTAATTCTTTATCTCTACTCCCATACTTTATATAGAAGAACCAAAAATATCAAAAAATTATTTAGAATTATTTATTATTTCGAATTTATTTAGTAAAACCGAAAATTGGAAAGTTGTAGAAAACATTTATAAGTTAATTCATAAATTAAACTGGAAAATTTTCTAAAGCTAAGTAATTCACTCATTGAATTAAGCATTTTGAAACTAATTTTCTCGGAAAGGAATTTGTTATCAAAAAATATACAGACTAGGTATATTTTTTGATAACAAATTTTCATCTTATTGTTAGTAACAATAATCTCGAATATCTATTACGAGGGGGGTCAATAAGTCTTTACAAAAAGAAGGAAAAAAAGTTTTGCGTATGTAATTTTTTTTATTTTTCAACATAATCTCCTTGAAGGTCGATACATTTTATTAAACGGCCTTCCAGTTTTTTTAAGCCATCAGAAAAATATGATTTCTGAAAACCCTCAAAATAGGCATTTGTTTCGGCGATGACTTATTCATTCGACATGAATCGTTGTCCGGCAAGCCATTTTTTGAGGTTAGCAAATAAGAAAAAATCACTGGAAGCCAAATCAGGCAAATATGGTGGATGGTCAATTAATTCGAATTTTAAATTGTTAATTTTTGTCATCGAAACTGCACACGTGTGAACTCGAGCATTGTCTTGAAGAAAAAAGCATTTTTTTTTGTTCAAGTGAGGACGTTTTACTCTGATTTTTTCTTTCAGCTAACATAATAATGACGCATAATATAGTCTAGTGATCGTCTGGCCCTTTGCCAAGTAGCCGATGTAGATGATTCTATACGCATCCCAGAAAACCGTGGCCATAATATTGCCAGCTGACTTTACTGTCTTTGCCTTCTTTGGGGTTGGTTCTCCTGCAGTAATCCATTGTTTGGACTGTTCTTTGGTTTCAGGAGTATAGTAGTGTACCCATGTTATGTCTACAGTTACTAGTCGATGCCAAAAGAATTCTGAATTACGAAGTCTGCGTGCCAAAAGAGCCTCAGAGGTGACCACGCGGGTTCGTTTGTTTTCAATAGTGAGCAAACGCGGCACCCATCTTACTGATATTTTTTTCATCCCCAATTTTTCATGCAAAATTGAAATGATTGTACCCATTGATACCCCTGTGGCCTCAACTAATTCTTGCAATTTTAATCTTCTATCACTCAACACCATATCGTAGATTTTGTTGACCATTTCGGGCGTACTCACTTCTACGGGGCGACCTAAACGAGGTTCATTTTTTGTTGTTGTACGGCCGCGTTTAAATTCATTTACCCAGTTATAAACAGTCTTAAACATAGGGGCAGACTTGCCATGGACGACGTTCAACTCAACTGTGATTTCTTTTGGTGTAAGGCCTTTTAAATGAAAATGTTTTATCACCGCTCGAAACTCTGTTTTTTCCATTTTTCAAATAAACCAATAACTTTTTATTAAACCAGCGCTTACAAAAAAATGACTTAATGAATCGAGTTGAAACTTTGTACGATATCTAGTTAGTAGTATAGCTTACCAAAAACATCATAATTTAAGAGTGACGAGTGCCATCTCTTGGATTTTGTAAACACTTATTAACCCTCCCTCGTATGTCTTCTACACAACTTTTATAGATGTATTAAGCTTATGCAAATCCATACGAAAACTGATGAAATTTTAGGGCATGCAGAATACAGTGAAACACAAAATTGAACAAAAAGAGAACTTTTGTTAAGCTTATTTATTAAGCTTATTTTATTCTTCTTTTCTATTTATCTTGTTTTATTACATTTCTTAAAAATAGTAAGTCTAAAAGTGAGTAATGTGCTACACAGAATATATTGTAACAGAGGGGGAAAACAGTCGATGCACTTATCATCTTTCATATGCCTACTTACACAAACAAGTTACTTAATATGAAAAATCTACGGTGGAAAAAATTATTATTCACCGCTAGTTGTCAGTACAATGTACTTAAAGGTAATTTACTTACCGTTAGGTGTATGGACTTGTTTTTGAAGTTGCAATTCTATTATCATGTCACTGTCAAAATTACTATCAAGTTTCGCTAAAATTCCGTCAACAAGAAAAGTCTTATTACAGGGAAATACTCCTAGATGGTCACCTGGCTCATATTCTATATCACTTGGAAAGAAATTTTGTAATTCTAATAGTAACGTTGTTCCTCTGAAAAAAATTACAGTTCTATAAAGAATAATATAAAGTATAAACAGATATTATCTAATAAAAAGATCGTGGGTTCGAGCCTTAAACATGTGAGAATTTTCGTAAATGTAAATGTCGTGTCTGTTACCATGAGTCCGGCGGTTCGAATTCCACCTTAAATTGTAGGTTTCATCATGAGGCATATAAAGAACCTCCCATATATGTCCGAAAGTGATAAGGGAGGTTCTTTTCCAAAAGTGTACATCTATAGCATTCCAGATGAACGCAGTCGTCGAAGTAATAACAATAAATAGAAAATTTCTTCTATAAAATAAAGAATGTCCTTTCATTCATTGTCCATTATTAATATGTTATATTTAGTTCTATCAATTTTTAAAATTATCCATTTTTTATTAACTTCTGATCATGACGCCAACAACATACCAAATAATTTTTTTTGAGAAATCGATTTTAACCGATAAAAATCATGAAAAGTAATAACTATTTCTTCAAAATCGCAACTACTTATGATATATTGCGTTATATTTAATACAAGTGAACATATCAATCATTAAAATGTATTTAATGATTCTAGTATGTAACTTTAATTAAAATTACCAACTGATACTGAATAAGTTTTTTTTTCAATTCCCATTTGTAATTACAATCTGTTCAACATGACAGTCAGTAAATTTTTGTACTCTATTGCACAATAAAACAATCCCCCTATATTTCCGATTCATCTAATTCACCTCCTGAAAGTTTTGTACATCTATGAAAGTGTTAAATTTAATGAAAATATCGCTTTTGAAGCCATTTTCTTCTTCCACTTTCAGTGCCATATCTATTCAGGTATTCAAGCTAGAAGAAAATCCGTAATAACATTTCTAACCATTCAGAGTCTTCTCTTTCAAATTCATCCTACAATATCAACCTATCTGGAGATCTAAATAAGGTGCATCCCCTTTTCTGAAAAAATATGACAATTTTTTCTAAAATTGCCGTATTTTTAATTTGAAATGATTTGGAGAAACTCCCAATAGTGATAAGCTGTGTTTGTTTCATTTGCTCGAAACGGCCTCTTTGGATAATAATTTTATAAATTTTATATAGCGATTTCAAAATTGTCACTTGAAATCAAGACAACTTGAAGAAAAATAGCATTTTTCAAGTTTTTGTCGATTTTTAGGTCAGTACTTTTTCGGTTAATTGTGCTATAATTTTCCCGTACCACTAAACATACTTTAATTTTTCTGCCTTTCTTCCGTCCTTTTAAGGTTTAAAAGACATTAGACCTCTGAGAACTAAGTTGTAACTAACTTGTAACTATAATACTTTAAGAGAACCAGCCAGGGTTGAACAGGGAAAATTGAAAGTTTTCTTTATAGGCATGTGAAGATCGTCCTAGTAAAGATATCGAACCAAAGCCTTCTTTATCTTAAAATACTTGGTAGAATCTTCATTTTTCTGTGTCATAAATGCCGATATTTTCTCATATCAATCCATTTTCTTCGGTAGGATTTGCGCTTTGGATTAAGTGAGCCAATTTACAGACAAGCTATTTCTTTCATGTTTTTAAACTGGTCTTTCAAATTTTATTATCCAGATTACAAATTCTAACAAAGATAATGAGATGTCTCAAAATGATTTTCGTTCACCCCAATGTTTAAAAGCGTGGCAAACTAAAGTTTTTTTTTTAAATATGACTATACGGTTAAAGGAATTTTCTGGGATATATAATGAAAATTTTGCCACTTATGAGAGAAAATTAAAGCTTTTACCAAGTACTTTAAGATTATTTACCACACTGTTGTTATAGAACTTTCGTACTAGTGCTCGAGATCTCGCGTAGAAGTCGTAATTTCGTATTAGATTTTAGAACTGCCATGCCAATGTCAGAAATCTCAAGTAGACGTCCGTTATCTTCTGTATATTTTTAGAATTTCTTCGCCAACTTGTGTGACCTCTAAAATAGTGCTATAAATTTCACGTAGCTGTTATCATCTTCCATACGCTTTTAGACTTCCCACGTCAATGCTAAAGATTTTTCGCGCTATATAGCTAGAGATCTCGCGTAGACGTTGTGATCTTCTGTAAAATTTTAGAATTTCTACGCCATTGTTAGAGAACTGACGTGGATGTCGTAATGTTCCGTAAGGTTTTGAAATTCCCATGTTATTGTCAGTGATCTCACTTAGACATTGTAATCCTCCGTATGGTTTTAGAATTTTCACACTAATACGCGTGACCGAGTTAGTGCTAAAAATTATTTGTAATCGTTTTCATCTTCCATACAGTTTAAATTTCCTATGTCAAATGTTACAAGTCCTCCGCGCTATAGTTAGAGATCTATCTATTGCTTAAAGATCTCCTGTGAATGTTGCAAACTTTCAAACTGTTTTCAAAATCCAAGTTAATGTTAATAGTCCTCCATGTTAGTGCTCAGGATTTCGTAGTAAAACTGCAATCTTCGAAAATTTTAAAATTTCTATACCAATCTTTGCTAGCCCCCATGATAATGTTTAAGATCTCGCATAGAGACTTCAATCTTGCGTACCTTTCCATAATTTTAACCGTTGCAAGCTATGACTCGGTTTGAATTATAACATCAGAGGGATATTTAGTAAAAGTTAGCGTTCTAAAAATTTTTTTCACATTAGAAAATCTAAGGCGGAGGAGAGGTGGAGGGAGTTGTTGAAGGTGTAGGTGAAAGGGTGATGGAGAGAGGGGCAAAGGGCGGAGTGGAGGAGAAAAGTCGTAAAAATTGTTATTATATGTATATAATATAGAAAGATATATATATATATATATATATATATATATATATATATATATATATATATATATATATATATATATAATGTCACAAATTATATATATATATATATATATATATATATATATATATATATATATATATATATATATATATATATATATATAATTTGTGACAAGGCTACAGCGAGCTCGCTGACCCTGTGTGCGGCACTCTCCACGTATGAACGTAGCGACTGAGCATGTATTGTAGCAATAGGTACATGCCTGTGTTATTATAGGACCAAGAGAGGCGAACATAGTAACTGGTAAATTGGCGCTGTGAGTGAAAAGAGCAAGAGAGAGAGCGAGAACGGCAAAGATTTCGGCTAAGGAGAGAGTAGGGAGAGGAGCGGCGCGCGACAAAAAGAAAAGGTGCAAAGAAAATGAAGGGCAGTGAGGCGTGAACTAAAGACTGATTAGGCCGTCTCTTAAGAAGTGACACGCGAGCCGATTATTAAGAAAGCCGCTTGATAGATTGAAGAGTTGGTCTGGACGAGCTGAAGAGTCGAGATCGAGAAGAATAATCGACCACTCAAAGGCAGAAGCAATTCTAAGGCTTAGTCATGCTACCGTGGATTACTTAAGGAGATTACTACCCAAAATTCATTTTCTTAAGATTTTGATGAAATTCACACCAAATATTTATTATGGTGCAACACATTACTGGTTGAAGTTTGGTGAGGCCTACCGTCATGGTTTACGAGATATGAAGCCTCAAAGTTTTAGAATTTAACACGTGTCATATAAGGCCTAGTCGCCATTTGTCGGTAGTTTTGGAAAAATTTCCAATTATAACTTAGAAACGGCTTTTAGCGATTTGTTACAAAAATAGTATGATATTTTTAAAACCTTAATAAAGATGATATCCAAAAGTTAGGAAGCCTAGCGTCACCGTTAGCGAAATATTTTAATGTAAAGTTTAATATTTAGTATTGTATTCACTGCGTAAGCCGCGTGAGCCGAGGAGAGAGCAGACAATGTGGCAACACCGCCGATACTTCCAACTTGCCGGTATACGTTTATCGCGTGCAGCTGCGATGAATATTGCAAGCTACTGCAAATATATTTTCTAGTTTATAATAAAAAAATTAGAAACATTAAATTTTTGGAAGCATAACAATTTTAGACGTTATATTATACTATAATTATTCTTTATTTATGTATGAAAATACTGACGGGTTCCTTTGAACAATCACGATTTCTTATAAACTGTAACTAACGATTCGAAATACATAAAAAAAATTGACGGAATTTTCCGTAGATAAATAACATAACATTATTGACTTTTTACTCTATTAATGATTTTTTCTAAACATTTTTTGTTATTAATTACTCTTGGTTTATTATTCTCTAATTTCTCAGTCAAAAAAGCTACTAGTTTTTTTCACCTGCTACATGCAAATTTTTCAGATGAGAAAATGTAATATTTTGTTTTGCAATTTTATTTAAAAGGTCTTTAGAAATAATACCTTTTAATTCCAATAACATTTGCAAACCTAGCTTTGCATTAATAATATCTTTAAACTTATTGACACAGTCAGTAAGTGTTAGAATATTAGAAAATAGAGCTTATTCACTAGCAATTACTTTAACAAATTTTTCCAAATTTACAACGTCAAAATAAGCATTATGCAGCTTGTTAACATTTTCTCCACTCAAAAACTCATTTGATAAAGTCCTTACTTTAAACATACCAGTACCCTTTGAATCAGGTAAAACTTTTCTAAAAAGTTTCAACAAATCAGAGAAACCACTTATTATTGAAAAATCACTGAGCATGTTATTATTAATAATCGTTTTTATTAACCTTCGCGAATCAAAAGAAACGTTATTTGCGATAAAAATACATCGCCTTTCTAGTTTCATAAGAAATTTCTGAAGTTCACGTAAACCTTCTTGAGCGTCAATAGTGGTAAGTTTTTTGTTATGCAAGTAAAGCTTGTTCCCGATATTCGTCAAGCCCGTAACTTCCGATGCGGCTGACAAAATATTTTTAGTAGGTGTCAAATAAACATTCAATGAATCTTCACCACATTTTACAGCGATTTGTAGAATATCGTCATCCTCACCGAGACCAGATAACTCTAAGTCAAAATAGACAATCACAGATTCATTAGGTAAATTTTCGGTAAGCTTATCGATCAAAATCATATCTACATTTTCAATATTATTTAGAACCATTCCAACATTAGATTGATAAGTTACTCCTTCTTTTTTCTCAATTTTGTTTTTTTTTATTAGCTCTATTTACATTCAAAGTTTGCCTACGTATTTTAAACTCTTTACTTTGAGTCTTAATATTTTTGTGCAGTCTTTTTTATCAGCTGCGTAAGCGTACTTTTTTGTTGCACAACCCTCAGACAATTTCAACTTTTTCCTTATAGCTACAAGAGACTGTTCGCCATCGTTTTTACTATTGACTGCACTTGCAACTCTAATATCACAAGAAGCACTTTTGCTTAAATAAATATTTTTTGGTGCTTTGCGCGCTATCTTATTATTGACACTTTCGTTGCTTTGACTAGAAGCTGAAAGACAAAATTTTTCAGAATTGGCAGAGTATTTTAAAAAAAAAATTTGCAAAGCATCGTATAGCTGCAGATCTTTTAAAATCACCATTTGTTTATTCACTTCCGTTGATTCAAGTTTGGTATGGCGACACCATAAGTCGCAATTTTCGTGATTGGCATACAAATGGTCCGGTAAACTTTTAAGAGTTGAAGCTAATTGTATAGTTTCACCTTTATTTTGCGAAACTGCATATGAAAAACATTTTTTAATATGTTTTATTACTCCTTGCTTAGCCAACTCTTTATAAACTTTTGCTAAGGTGTACAACTCATTACTGAAATTCTAAGGACGACTTCAGCGGGTAGATATCTTCAGCAATTTCAACAGGCCTAAACATGAAAGAGAAATGATATTTCAATAATTAATGCATAATGATTGATCAGTAACATTTGAGGTCCCCTTATAAAATTATTTTGAGTATTTTTCTAGACAATTGTCAATTTTTTATTGATAAGTATTTTGTACATTGCATATTAGCTTAATATAAGATAATTCTACATAAAAAAATTATTCTAAAGCTTACGCTTTATTTTTTACTTTATAGCTCTTATTAATTAATTAAGTGATTTCATTCTCTTATTGTAATAAGAATCTTTCAATTTCACATGATTTGCTTATAATTCTTATAACTAATTTCCTTTGCTTATCTCCACCTCATTGATCCCCCGATGTACGTGTCTGAAGTCGAGTAGGAGAGTAGGCTGCTCCGGGATGCGGGGGTGGTTGCAGACCCAGTGCAATGCCCCACAGATTTCCCTTGGTCCTGAGCACTGGCTCGCACTGTCCGACGTCTGGGATACGCCGGACTTGAGAGTCTGCACCCCCTGGTCCACTGTGGACTTGGGACGCTCGACACTGTCCTTGTCCTCCGTCTGTGTCGAAGCGTCCCGGGAAGATTTCTTCGGGGCGACCCACGATGAGTCCCGGAGAACGTCTGCCACCGAAGCATTCTGCCACTCCCTTCGGGTGGTCCCCTCCAACTGGACCCTGGCGAAGCTCCGCAGATCTTCAATTAACTACGTAGCATCAGGGCCCAGTTGCAGATCCAATAGCTACTGCGTGACCACCTCAACGGTCTCCTCTTCGACGACGATTCTCCAGTCCATCTGAAACATCCAAAACAAAAAATCTCGAATAAATCTCCCTGTGCGAAGAAAAACCCTAATATACGCCGCATCCCACCGAGTTATACGTTCCCTCGCGATTCTTTGCGGGAACGTCCTGGCCCTCGTCGATTACCGTTCGGGTTTATTGGCCCAACCGTCCTTTGCAAGACGGGCACGGTCTTTCGAGGCCTAGCTTTCCCTCTTGTTTCCTTCATGGGAGAGTTGATACCTCTTACTGGACCGGTGACCGTCTCTGGGACCTTTCGAGGTCAACCTCGACCTCTCTTGGTTGGGGCAGATACCGGTCAATCCGACGTCTCGGTGGGATCCTTATCTACGGCCGTGGGGGCTGCTAATTCGATCCGCTCGCTTGGTAAATCCCCTTCCGGATCTTCGCACGCATTTGCGGAATCGTTCGCCTCCTCCGACTGTTCAACTTGCGGCTCGCGAGGATCGACGACCTCCTCGCTTTCCTCATCCTCACCCGGACCGTATTACGGTTTAAGATCTTTGGCATGGAAGAGCTCGGACAGGATCTCTAGCTGATTGCCTAGTCTGTACGTGTTGGATCAATAAACCTCTTCAATCACGTACGGATCGGCATATTTTGGCGCCAATTTGGCTGAAATGCTTTGGGCAGCGGAAGAGAGATCCTGTTCCTCTTCCAAACCCAATCTCCGACCTTAAACTCGGGTTGCCGTCTCTTCCGGTCATAATAAGCGGCGTGACGCGCCGCTTCCTCCTTTGACTTGGAGTTGGCCCTCTCCTATAAATTAGGGAGCTTCTCTATATGTTCAGCCCAATCCACCACAGCTTGACCCTCCGAACATTCAAGAGCCTGCTGATCTTGGGCTCTTCTGAACGTCAACGGTGGTACCGGCTGATGTCCAAACATGAGTATAGCAGGACTATATCCTGTGGCGCTATGAGTTGCCGAGTTCAACGCGAAGTTGAACTCTGACAGGTGTTTATCCCAGCTCTTATGATCACGGCTTACGTAAGACGTGATCATGGTTTTGAGTGTCCTGTTTACTCGCTCTGTGGGATTGGCTTGGGGATGATACACGGGAGCCAAGGCGCGCTGGATGCCGTTCATCTAGAGGTATGAATCGACTGCCTGATTCTTGAATTCGGTTCCATTATCCGACAAGAATTCCTTGACCGAGCGGAACCTAGTGACAATTCTCTCGTATAATTCCCTTGCGATTGTCTTCCCATTGGCTTTGCGTATTGCAACACACTCTACCCAGCGAGTAAAGAAGTCTACAAAGACTAAGATGTACTCAAAACCTCAAGAGCTTTTGGGAAATGGACCAGTGATATCACCGGCCACCACCTGCCAGGGTCGTGACACTTGTCTACGACCCATCAGCCCGCAAGGTGCTCTTTGTTCCAACTTGCATTGCTGACACACCGGGCAACTCTTTACGTACTCCCTGACCTGATCATACATCTTAGGCCAGTAGTACAAGTGCCTAGCCCTGGAGAACGTACGCTCTCGTTCCTGATGCCCTACTGTAGGAGCATCATGGACCTCCTGGAGCACTGGTGCCTTTTCTCCCGAGGCACCGCAAGCTCCCACGCTTCATCGTTGTCGATGGACCCCTCACTGTCCTCATCAGGCTGATAATGATACAGCCTCCCTCCCACTACCTTCCAAGTAGGGTGAGAGGTCTTGGCATACTTCCTGGTATTGTTGCAAATACCAGGCGTCAGTGGTCTCCGGCCGACTATTTATGGCACTCATTTCAATCCCCTCCTCCACATAGGCCCTAGACAATGCGTCAGACACCACATTCAGATCCCCTTTTCGATATTTAATATCGAAGACATTGCCTTGCAATGCTAGCGCCCATCGCACTAGTCTTCCCGTGGGATTTCTCATATTGTGGAGCCATTTCAGGCAGCTATGATCAGTGATGACCCTGAAGTGATGCCCTTCAATGTACGGCCGGAACTTTCCAATAGCCCATACCACTGCCAAGCACTCTTTTTCTGAGACCGTATAATTTCTCTCAGCGCTGTTGCGTGATCAGCTAGCGTATTCTATCACACGCTCTTCTCCATCGACATCTTGCGTGAGGACTGCCCCTATCCCACTGTCACTAGCATCAGTTTGTAGTATAAACTGACCGTTAGGATCGGGAGATTACAGTATCGGGGCGGAAGTCATCGCCTCCTGCAACCTCGTGAAAGCTCGCTCTTGCTCCTCCTCCCAAGAGAAACGTACATTCTTCTTTGTCAGGCGGTTAATACGTTCAGCGATCATGGCAAAGTCGGGTATAAAATGTCCATACCACGAGGTCATTCTCATGAATCGCTTAACCTGTTTAACAGTCCGGGGTGTTGAATATTCCAAAATTGGTCGTATCTTCTCTGGATTTGGTCTTACTCCGTCCCGGTTTACAAGAACTCCCACGTACCTGACTTCCGTCTTGCAGAAGTGACTTTTGGCTTTGTTGATGGTTAAGTCCGCACCTAGAATTCTATTTAATACCATTTCTAGGTGCCGCTTATGCTCCTCAAAGGACGACGAAACCACAATTACGTCGTCAAGGTAAAAAAAGCGAATGGATCCATATCCGGGCTTATCACCTTGTCCATCAACCTCTGGAATGTCGCTCCTGCGTATGACAGTCCGAAGGGCATTCTCTTGAATTTAAAGTGCTTTAATCCAGGTACTGTAAACGCTGATATCGGACGCGATTCTTCCTTTAGGGGAATTTGATGGTACGCACTGCTCAAGTCCAGAGTAAATATGAACTTTGCATCCCTTATCTGTCTTAGGATGTCGTTCATATATGGTAAAGGGTAGGCATCAGGTTTGGTAATCGCATTTACCTTTTGATAATTCACGCAAAACCTATATTTTCCATCAGCCTTCTTTACCATTACTATTGGACTTGACCATCCGCTGGTCGATGGTTCGATTATATCTTTTTCCAGCATATCTTTGACCAGCGCGTGCATTTCCTCTCGCACTCTATCAGAGACTGGGTAGTATTTTTGTTTAATGGCTCGAGCATTTCCAACATCTATTTCATGCTCAACCCCCACGGCACAGCCTAAAGCTTGACCTCCATCAGGAATCAATCCATTAACGAGGTCTTCTATTTCCTCCAGCTGTGTTTCCGTGGCCTCCCACAGGCCTACCGGTGCGGGAAATGCCGTACCATCAATTCCAGCCACTTCCATTGGTACTTTCACTTGGGCGTCCTTAACCCATAACTCATCCTCGTCGGGATCCAAAACTGCGCGGAACTCTCTTATAAAGTTCGCGCCTACGTAGCAGTCATCTGTGAGCAGTGGCGTAATGGCGACTCTGATTTTCTTCGTGATTCCTTCTACTTTAAAGGGGAACATCACGTGACCAATTATAGGGCATGGGCGCCCATCAGCGAGTCTTGCATCCTCCGCTCTGGTCACATTCAATCCGAGTCCCATCTCCGATGCCAATCTCAGCCCTAATTGACCCATGACCGTGCAAGAGGCGCCGGTATCATA